TGGAAATGTATTAAGACTTAAAGAAAAGCCACTTTGAGAAAATAATTCATTTTGAATGTAAATAATGCTTTTATCTCATTACTATGCATATTAATGGTAACTTCACTAAGGGGCTGAGACTGGTGGATATATCCACTTACATCCTGCAAGGATATTGCAGGAGTTTTCCTATGTATCTTTTTTTACCTCTACCCAATTTCCACTTTTGTGGTTGTTTTGGATTTTTCTGTGTGGCTCTGTTTTTATATTATGTCCTCTATAATTCTATTATTGAGTGACTTTTCATTGTTAATTTTCTAGTAGAAAGTAGGACAAGGAAAATCAGTTGGTTATATCCCTGTATTTTCTTTCACAGGTGTCATTTTATTGGCCAATTTTGAAGTATTTCATGAAAAGATTCTAGATGTCAAAACCTGCAGTTAACGTTCCTGTTTAGAAATACACAAAATAATACCTTTGACGTTGGCAACTCAGATGTATTATTCAGCAAAACAGCAATTACTCATTGTTTTTCACTTACATGTTAAGAACTATGCGACACTTGGTGACACAATAACAAAATTGCAAAGTCAATTATATTTAAAATAGACATCCCAATAAAACATACACAACCAACTCCTTTTACTGTTTTTGAACTGTTTTGTTTCCTTTTTCTGACTGTTTACAGTTAAATCGATTATGTGAATGTTAAATCTAAGTATAGTAACTGATTCACACACATCATGAGAAAAAGAAAGTTAGAAAATGGGGAAGAGGTATAACACAAAGGGAGGTGTATTCCTGAGGGTACCTGAATCCACCTAGGGAGGTGCCAGAATGTTGCATATTTTTTTGAAATGTACATCTATGATGTTCTTTTGCAATGTCAATCATAGTGGCAAACTCTGAAAGAGCAGTATCTGCCAAAATTCCAAGCAAAATTTGGGCTAGATTCATACTAATAATTCTAAGAAGATCTAAAGCAATAAAACCCAAGTAGAGTCAATATCTTTATATCTAAGAAGGGAGGGTTTCAGGTGGGAGCAGTTGTTTGTTTTATTCTATTTTAATTGCACAAGAAGCATTTTTGTAACTTGAACTTTCCAGTAATGAATTCCGCTTCTCAACCCAGCCTGCCTGCAGCCTGAATTGAAGTTCCCATCAGAAAATTAAAATGTTTGTCTGGATAAAACAACTTCTAAATGAATTCTCTATTTCTTTTCATTTCTTTTTGTATTTTCTGCAATGTAGCCCCTCGCAATGATATTAGTTCTAGTGTGGGAAAATATTATAATTGAGATCTGGTAAGTTATTTGCAGACTTCAAGTTTTTCTTTACACTGTGCTGACATTTAGTACAGCCCTGGTGAGGAAAACAATACTACCATTCATAGCTCTAGACGTAGATTTCAATCGACTTAAGCGGGCACAATGAAACTTGGTCATTCACTGGTTACCCATATTGTGTTCTCAAATTTTCTCTCAGCAAAAGTATAATGACTCAGTATTGTATGGTTGCATAGACAAGGGCTCGGAACAAGAGACACTAGTTTTGTCTGACGGTGTGAGAAAGTCGTGAAGGGGTCTTTTCTTCCAGATGGTGTTAAATTCAGCTGCCTTTTTAACATTGGCCTTGCACAGCAATCTGCTGCTCCACTTTCACAAAGACTGCGCTTGGTTCCCACTAGTTAACATGCATCCTCACGCAACCTGCAACTTCACTCCGACTGTTTCACAATGCAGCGGTATGCTAAATAAACTTGATCCGGTTTCTGCCAATGTTAAAACTAGCTTTCAAAGAACTACTTAACCGGTATTTACACTTCTTTTGACTTATATGTACATGCCTTTGGAATATTTCAGATTTCAAAGAAATATCACCTTATTATAAGGTCACTGTAGAGATTACCTTGGACATCCTTCAGACCCATGCTCAGATATAGTACCTCTCTCCAACACACACAAATAAAACAAAATGTCAGAAGTTTGATGTGCAATAGAAAAAAGAAAAATTGGGACATGTTGCAGCAGGAAGAGTGGAACAGCAAAAAATAAAATGAAAATAATAACATTGAAATGTATTTTTATTGATCGATAAGTCATGTAACATTAGTATGGTACAAAGCAAGTTTGATATGACAATGGCAAACACATAATTATAATATTGTTTATTTTCCTTAGATGCTATATTTAACACATTTACATAAAAGACCAAGATGTAAGCAAAAGCTTCAGTAATTTGACTCCATTGAGTGCTTTCAGTAAACAATAGGTTTCCCTAGCAAACATCTTATTGCCTTAATTGAACCTCCTTGAGAAAGAAAACCACACACTTTGTAATGTAAATGTTAATTGTAGTAGACAATGGTTCTAGGTAAATAGCACCCCTGGACATGAAGCAAATGAAAGGAATACAGGCACTTAACAATGAAAGGTTGTTTGCACAAACAGTGCTTCAAATGTAAATAAACAAGGGTCTTCTCAACGGTCACTACAGTAGTAAAACTTTGGCACGTGTTCAGCAGCCATAATGAGAATTTACGTTAATAAAGTCTCTCAGAGTTTCTAACTGAAACTAACAGTGGGTTTAGGGTTCTCCAGTCTGGAATTGTATAAGGTGCTGAAGCTACGAAGGAAAATGTAATGTTTTTGAAGAAAAATTGTAGATTTGGGATTTGAAATTGTCAGTAATCCAGGCCACATGGAAAATAGCAGGCCATTTTAGGCATTTTCTTACTGCAATGTTTGTATTTACGTTTAATGCCTATACAAATGTTTGCTTTGACACGTGGAAAAATGTAAGAACTTCTGTGAAAAGATTGCAGTGGGGACCTCCAAAGCCCCAAAGTTTCTGCTAAGTATAGTCATTTTTAGATTCAATAAAAATGGTTGTATGGACTTCATCTCACTGGGACCATACCAAAACAACCTTTTATATTACTATTGCCATTAACTTTCTGTAGGCTGATGATTTTATAGTTTTACTTCCAGTGTGTGTCTACTAGCACAATTAGGCCAAGTTCCTAGACATATCATGTTAAGGGGTAAACAGCCTGATGAAGTGATAATAATGTCCATTATAGAGTATGTGTTTTTTAGATATAATCCACCCAAAACAAAAGCCAGAATGTGTTCACAAGGCCAAAAGTACAGACTGAGAATTTGACGTGAAGGGCAGGCAGAAACGGGACTTTTTTGGAACTGCTTTCTACTAGCTTCCCTTAAATATTGAAAATCTTAACCAAAGAAGAAAGCTGAACTTAATTACGGCCAAATTAAACAGCAGTTATAAAATTAACAGAAACAGACAGTATGCAGCAGCTACAAACCAGTCGATGCTACCATTTGGGAGGTTGCAGATGGCTGTGGGTGGGAAATGCCTCTACTTTCTTAAGCGATGGAGATGAGTATGGTGTGTGCACTTGATGTTTTTTTCATACCCCCACCCCCCAACAGGGCTGTCTGTCATAGGCTGCCGGGCCCGCTTTACCACTTGCCCCCGAGCGTGGGAATCGGAGCGTCCTGCCGTTCACATCTCCTGCATTCCGTTTATCGGAATCAATTAGGCAAGACAGACCCTCAGATTCCCCACCCCCTTTCCATTTTTGTCAGGTCTATATACGTCCTAATTATTTCAGTTTGGGATGCCAGAGCTGTTTCCTGGATAGACCTGATCATCCTTAAACAAAAAGAGAGGAGGCGCACACGTGGGTTGTGGCGTAAATGTCACTTTCATTTCCAATGCTAGGCGCAGAGTAAGACAGAACATTTTTTTAACACTTTGACAAGAGGGGAGGCGATCTCGTCTCCATCATGTCTTTCTGCTTCAGTAGCTTCCTCAAGGAAACCCTCTTGGAACAGAGAAGCATCTGTCCTTGTATTTTGAATAGAAGAATAAAAATCAGGCTTTGCTTTTTTTTTTTTTTTTGCATTTTCTCTGCTAGCTGTATGTCCTCAGAGATACAAATTATTAACCTTCCATTATAAACTTTTCTGAAAGTCTAATTTAATATAACTTGACATACAACCCCAATACATGTAGTCCTCAAGCATAATCTTCAAATTTTTCAGGGGTGGGGAACCTCAGAAGGAGATAGCCTAGGTCTACGTACTACGAAATCATTTTTAAACTAGATACCAGACATCTCTACAACAACTTTCTAAGAAAAAAAAAAACACCCTCATATAAACTTTTGTCTTAAAGTAGGACAAACTACACATGCATCTTTACTTATTAGCACTATACAACTCTCCTTTGCAGCTGTAACAACCCCTCTCAAAGTATCTGGCACCTTTGTATTTTGGCATCTGTGTGTCACTTAATTTCCTCTAATCCCACCTTTAATCATAAGGAAAAAGAACAAAAGCAAAAACAAAAACAAAGTTAGATTCAATAAGTATTCCTGACCTTTCTGGTTTTTACTGTCTCTCGGTTGTAGTCTTTCATTCTCACATGCTCCCCGGCGATCTTGAAGGAGTTTTTACTTTCGGTTATCTAGCTTTATGAAGACCAATACACTCATACAGCTAGATAACCAAAGATAACAACTCGCTTCCCTCACACGCCTCTGTCTTCCTCTGGCCAGATTCCAGATCCCGATCTCTCTGGCAGTACCGAAGAGTAGTCCTCCAGGACACTTGCCGAGCATAAGATTCCTTCTTGCATGTAAATATGACCTGGTTTCTGTTTGTGTGTGCAGCTAAAACATCCAAACGAGATCTGTTGCTTTCAAAGTTTATTCCGAACTTTTTTTTTTCCTTTCAGCAAGTAATCTCCGGCAGCGTTAGCCAACAATTCATCTATTAATATCAGAAAATAAAACCAGCTACTAAGGTGCAGCAAAGCGGTTACGAGTGAGCAGCAGCATCCGTCCCTCCACAGGCCTCTATTTGCATTGTAAATTGCTTCATTCTCACGCAAGACTCCTTAGCCTCCCTCTATAGAGATGTATAAAGCCAACGGCAATTTCCAGCGCAGGTTAAGGAGGAAGGAAAAAAAAAACATCCCATTCTATAGAAGAGGTGACAGCTGATTCAAGGATCTGCTCCTGATCCTTTTGGGTTAGGCACCGTGAGCTTTTTACCAAGCGGTGGCAGCTTGATCGCACGTATCTCGTGTGTATGTGTTTTAGGGGGAAGATCCTCGATTTCACAGGGCTTCTAGGCTGGGGAGGAGAAGAAGCCGTCTTGCTGGCGTGCTGCTGCCCCCGGTCTGAAAGAAGGAGAAAAGGGCCATCATTGGAGGGGCTTTCACTGCCAAAATGTGGACCAGCCCGGCAAGGTCAAAGGTTCGAGACCGCGGGAGACCAAGGTAATGATGATGTCATAAGAAATCTCAAGTACACGGTTATTGATATGCATCAGTGATCAGCCAACTGCCCCACGCCTCCTGCCCGAGCAGCGGCAGCGGCCGCAGCATTGCAACAAGCCCTATTTTCTCAATCAACATCTCTTCCGCGAGCACTACCGACCGCTCCAGGATAAGCAACCCGCGGCCTTTTACCTCCTCGGTGCTAGTGTAGATCGCTCTAATATCCAAAGACTGGAAGAAATCTCTCTCTAATGACAGATAAAAGCATTTCAGATCTGGGGAGCGTCTTTGCCTGCATTTCTCTTCTGGCAGATTGCATGGGCAGACAGATGGAAGGCACTTTGCTATTGCTTAAAGCAGGGCCTTGCTTTCTGGGGCTGGGAATCAGATCTGTATTACGCAGTGAGTCGATGTGTGATTACATTGACAATGTGCTCTGGTGGTGTGTTTTTAATGGCTTCACGGCTCAGTCATGTTTTGTATCTATGTGCCATGGCGATAGCGTATTTTGTTTGCTCTCTAAGTTCAAACCGAATGCTCTAAGCAGGCTGACTTCATTCTGGTTTTTAGAAAAAATGACTCTGTATAGGGTGTGTGCCTTAGAATGTAGCCCAGGTAAACACTGCAACATTAGTTTCTACTGTTGTACACAACTCTCCTGTAATAAAAAAGCTGAGCCTTTGTTTATAATCTCAAAAATCAGTTTTCATACAGAAGGACAAAATGTACTAGTCTTCCTTATGAAATTATGAAAAAAGTATCGTTACCTCATGAAAACGACAAAACACCTGGGTGTTAAGAGTATAACTCTACCCCACCTTTCCCTGCCCCACCCCCACCTTTCTTCGATCTAGAGGAGAATACTGTTTTATTAATTAATTAGCCTCATTCCTTTTCTCAGGACTTTTCAAAGTGTAAATATGGTCACTTTAAAGAGCTCTTTTCTTCTCCTTCATTTATGGGTAATCTATGTATAATGCATCTATGATATGTACAGTTCTAATACTCAGATGCCCCTCAACAGAATATCTGAGGTGCAGTCCATATAAGATGCATATTCACCAAGGGTGAACTTTATGGATTGTTTTCCAAAATTGGGAGTCATGTTTGGTGGTGTTCCTATTCTTTCAAATATATGCTACACGTGAATGTCATAAATCTTCATATTCATTTCACACATCACTAGTTTAACACAATACTCTCATTTCTTTAGGTTGACTATTTTGCCCAAAGACTAAAACACTTTCAGAATTAATATATACTCTTTCATTAATTCAGTAATTTATTCTTGTAAGACATGAGTGTGAATATGCTTACCAAGTTACATACAGAGCACACATATGTAAATCCTATGGAAAAGACTGACAAGTAAAGAGAACCAAAATTGCTAAGAAAAGCCCCCAATCTACAGTTCATACAATAATATTACACCAGTTAAAGATACAATTTAGAAACACAGATGCCAAATTTCCCTTAGGTTTTTTTATTCACTTTTTTGGGTGAGCATTTGCGTTCTGATTATTTAGAAAAGACTCAGCTATGGAAATTGCTCATCTATTTTTCTTATCAAATCTTGGTATACGAAGTATGATCAGAAATGGCTGCATTGGGTTACATATAAAATGTACGTGCAAACTACAAACTGATTCAGAGACACACACCCCCATAGAGTTACTGTTCCTTCTTGAACTATGAGGTCACAACATAAACTAATGGACAGAATTGGGCACATGGCTGAGGCACATGCCACTTTGACATTATGTAAAACCATAATGAGCTTGGCTGCATTGGAAGATTGAGAGTATTCTGGCCTTGCTTTCCAAGACCGAGAAGCAGAATCATTAGTGATTTGGCATGTACTACATAAAGCAAGCATATGATCAGATGAATTTAATTCTTTAAGTTCAAAACCCTAAGAAATGCCAGATATTTTTAGAATATCTTTTTGCCTTATATACATCTGGGTGGGGGTTGGTGAATGTGGAGAGATGTGATACATGTATGTCTGTGTATGTGTGTCACCCCATATTTGTGTGAATTCACAAATTAATGTGCCTATATTCCTACATTTAACAATTAAATCCATTTTTAGAACCCAAGTAACTATCACGAAAGCCAAGACACTGAACATTTGAAGTGCTTCTATAATTAGAAGCTATGGAAAATACTGTCTTAAAATAACATCTTCTAAAGCAATGCCACATAGTCACACGAACTGACTCCAGGACTGGCCCTCATGCATGCCACATATACTGTAGATTCATTGTGAGAGCCCCCAAAAGTGAAAATAGCCAACATAAAGGTTATGGGCAGTCTGTTCACTAGCCATATAGCCAATTAAATATTTTACCTCTCCATCCTCTTTCAAGGTATGGAGAAATAAAAGATACACAGCAAGGCTTCACACTGAACACCTGATTATTTTGAATATTGCCAAGGTTCATGTCATAGTTTATCATACACATTTCAAGGACTTTATTATCACTTAGGATATGAGCCAGTTGAAACAATTGGGCTGATTCCTAGCAATGCCTGCCATACATTGTTATGAGCAACTATTAACACCTACATGTACTTATTTCAAGTATTTTTGTTTTTCAGAAAGCTATTTATCTGAGCTACAGCCGTTTCTGAAATCTGCATATTGAAGGATATACTGAATTCAAATGGCTTGCCTGCTCATTCTCTAATAAATTCCCATTAATGGCCAGTAGATTAGGACGTGATTGTCATGCTTGTTTTCTAATCTTTTTATAGGTCTCCAGATGGCTGAAACATGAATTGAAACATCCTGGTTTTCTTGGGAATAAACAATCTCTGCTTAAGTTAGAAGTGAAAAGTTATGACTTTCCACATATTTGGATCAGAATTATGCTATTCCATAAATGCAAATAATCAGGTTTGCCACTCATATTTAGAACACCTCTCTGAATCCTATTCAGACTACTGCAGAGTATATAAAGAATTGGCCTATTACTAAATCCCTCTTTAATACTGAGTTTGTAGATTCTTATGTAAGTAAACCACAGTCCACTAATACAGTCAAGACTACCATTTTCTACATAAAAGCCATTTAATTTACAGCGATTTGTATAGTTCAGGCAAGGTACTTGACTGGCTTACTTTCTAATAAAAGTGTCCTATTATGTCTTCTGTATCCTGAATTTCATTTTTATAGGCAGTTACAGGTTATGTTTGCATCAACCTTGATACATAGTATACAAAGGCTACATACAGGGAAAAAAACAGCACATATGGAAACTTAGATTTTTCTGGAATTGTATCTATTGCACGAACTGGGACATATGCAATACACTGCAGGCCTACCACCCAGCAAATGATATTCTATTTTGACTTTGTATATCGTTTTGATTTTATCAAACGTAAAATTTTAAATTACCTTTGGTTGGTCGTATTGTTTATTCATTTTAGGCTTCTTTGTAGTCTTACCTGAAAAATAGTTAAGAAAACAAATGATCACAGTTTTAATATATACATATATGTATATAATCATGTTTAGATTTGGCTTCATTTTAAAGTATTGCAATTACCATGATCCCTTAAAATGCCAAGAGATTACAGAAAACCCCAGTACAATGTATGCTGGGCTTCAGCACCCACAGGGTTAAATATGCTAATTTGCATTTAAATGGAGACATGCATGATAATGTGAATGCAAAATATGCAGAATCTGGAGGGGTTTGGGAAATTAATTTTTTTCTTTCTTCTTTTCTTTTATTTTTAGCTTGGAAGGAAGAGGGACCCTTAAAAGACATTAGGGATTTGAACACTGTAACCTGCCATACAAAAGACGAGGGAGAGTTCTTCCATGTAAGAATTTCAAGACTGGAACAAAGTCGTATTTTCTAAATGTTTCAGGAACTGGATTTCCAGGCCTTTCAAACAATGGGAATCCCTAGATAAATATCTAATCCATTAGAAAGATGCAAATAGTTTACTGTAAGGCCACAGCACGGTGAGATGTGCATTCATATCTATGGCTCCTGATTGGCTATTTCCTTCAGTAAATCAATGAATAATGTAAAACCTGATTGCTGTAAAGTGGTGGATTTTTTTAATTCCCTTCCCCCATTCCTCCATGACTCAATATTCAAGAAGTCTTACTTTCCCGAAAATAGGTTGCTTTTCTTTTATGATTTTTTAAATGCTTATTGTTATTTTGGAGTAATGGGGTGGGGCTACTGGTTTTGCAAAATGAAAGTACTGCCCCGGTTCAATTATGCTGACTATGGGAGTTCGTTTCTGAGACAGCGCCCTAATTACTGGTGGCAAGGTGGGGAAGGAGGGTGCTGGGAAGAGCTGGGCACCAGGAGAGGGAGGAAACTGGATCCGACCCTGTCATTCTGGGCCCAAGGCAGCCACAGCCCCAAAAGAGCCCCGGCCATGGCCGTGACTTGACAGGGCCTCCGGTCTAACTTCTGATCAATACCACTGCTGCCCTGACCCCTCAAGACAGTCTCCCATTCAAGCAGCGCCGGTACATTTGCAAGAGAAAACGCGGCAGACCCTAATGCAAATAAAGTGCCTGGGTTCCCCCCCTCCCCGTGTTCCCTCAGACAATTCCAGGCCACGGAAGGAAGGGCTTGCCTCCCTCAGCGGGGTCTGGGCTCCAAGCAAACTGCAGAGACCGGGCTCCGCTCGGATACCAGAAGCATCTGAAGCTGAAATGTTCCAAGTGCCAATAACTAACCGCGATGGCTGTATCTTGATGAATCTGAACTTGGGATAACCCTGTAAAGCGGCCTCTCGCCTCCCAGAAACCAAAAGGCTAGAGAAAAGGGAAGTGGAAATCCACCACGTCTAGTTACCTAGTGTACATTAAGTTTCCGCCAGAATCCAGTCAGATCCTCACGTCATTGCCAGATGATTGCAACTTTGAGGTGGTTAAAAGAATCATTCAAAATGCAAATTCTGGATCCAGGAACGCAAAATACAATTGTATTTAGCTCTAGGTTTATAAGAAAAAAGTCCCACTAAACAACAACACAAAATTACATACAAAATTCCCCTTTCCAACGCGAAATTTTCCTGGCATCTCTCTGCAACTGGGGGTCAGACCGCTGGATAATTAACAGTTCTGGCTCAGACAACTCAAGAGATCAACAGGTTTAGCATCCGAGACTCACAATCAATTAGCTGAAGCAAAGGCCCGGACTGGCCCTCGGAGCGGCCCGCAGCGGGGCTCTGCGGTCACCGGCTCGAGGACGTGGTGAGGAGCGCGGGCGCGGGGTTTGCAGCGGTCACTGCTGGCCCCGTGCCGCCCACCGAGTTGCCGCCTGCGGGCCGCCACGATACTCACTTGCTCTCCTCCCTAAGCCAGGCAGTGTTGTCCCCCCCAAATCCAGCTGGGCAGGAATCGAGGCGCCGGCCAGAAGACAAGATCCAGAGTCACAGGGCGGCCGCAGTACACAAACAGGCTCCTTTCGGCGTCCCAAAAAAAGAAAAAAATTTTTTCAGATCATTCCTCTCCTTAGCACATTTAAAACTGCCGCTCAATTCCACACGGTGATTCTTGCTTGATTGCGTCTGAAATAGTTTAAAAGGATCTTCCCTTCTGGGGAGAGAGAGAAGGGCGCAAAAGACGAAAGAGGAAAAAAGCCAACTTTTCCCCCCCACGCCAGGCACTTGCTCCCTGAGCCTCGGAGCGGAGAGTGAAGTGGTGTGTGCGAGGCTCGGCAAGTTTTTGGGGGGGCTGTCCAAGGTCTAGTCCAGCCCCCTCTGCCGAGGAGGACGTGCTCTGAAACTCAACCAATTTCCCCACTGCTTTTGTTACTGATGAACTGAAGCCCTATTGTTCATCCATTGCCACGGTCTTTTTCAGTCCCCACACTACGTTCTGCGTTGCCAGAGATAATGAATTTGCACCCAAACCTCTCATAGTCCCCTCCTGACAGACGGAACAAATTAGAAATGTCTCGTCTGAAGGAAGGCAATGGCTACATTTTCCTATTATAAGATGTAAAGCACACATTTCTTTGGAAACTTCTTTTGCCTTTTCTACCTTTTATTTTCTCTATCTTTTTCTCTTTTCCTTCAGTTTTTTTCTCTTGATTTCTTTAGACTCTTTTTTTTTTAAAGAATAGGCCTGTCTTGTTTTTCCAATGCACCATTTTATGTAACTTGTGGATCTTTTCTACCTTCCTTCTTTCCTCTTTTTTTTTCTTTAAGAACTCCCTTTGCAATTTTATTTACAAACTTGGAGAATGACCTTTTGACTTGCAGACTTTTTTTAAAAAAAGAAAGGTCTTTTGGTTCAAGTCCCCCTTCCTCAGTCCTCCTCCTCTTTTTGTTGTAGTCGTCAAATGTGTTTGGCTAAAGACAAGCAATACGTTATAAGGATTTTTATTCTTTAAACTCCAGAGCTATTCAAAAGGTACCAGGGACGCCCTATAGGGGTTATCTATTTGAGGGGGAAGAAAAAGCGCGCGCGCGCGCGCGTGTGTGTGTGTGTTCCAAGGAAAGAGGCAGAGAGATGTGGGAGGGTGTGGGTGGGAGAAGGGTGGGGGCCTTGAGGGAAAGTGGGCTTCCTGGAACACGAGCCGGGAGGCTGTCAGGCGTGTAGGCGCTAGAGGGAGGGTGCAAGAACCCGTCTCGCCGAGGGCGGCTTGAACCCCTGGGCCTGCTCGCGCTCCCAGCCGGCCACAGCCTGGGCGCGGGTGTCTGCGCGCGCGGGCCCTTGTTCCGAGCCTGCGCGCGTGCGACCGGGGCGGAACCGGGGCTATAAAAATTCAGGCGAGTGGCCCGTATGTAAATGCGGTCCGGGGGGAGCGGGGAGGTGGTAATGAGAGCCGCCGGCCCGCCAGCGGCCCCCAGCTTTCCCGCCAAGTGCAGCCGGAGGACAGACAGCCATGCGTGTCCTTGGCGGGAGGGCCCCCGCCCGCGCGCGCGCCCGCCCCCCGCGCACACGCACACACTCCCCTCGCAGGCGTGGGGCCCGGTGGTCACGAGCATGTCAGGAAAACAAAGCTAGGGTTGCGAGGTGGAACGAAGAAACGGCAGCCTTGGCGGCCAAGGGCAGGACTGGGAAGCAGACAGCGCGGCCTCCGGCGCCCCTTCCTTGGCAGCCCGCGACTCTGCCTTCCGCCCCGGACTCCGCACCGCCCCGGCCCAGAAGAGGCCGAGGATCATTTCTTAGCTACCCAGGAGTGGGTGGGCGAGCAGAAGCGAGGGTGGATGTGCACTGGGAGGTGCCAGCGACTCCCGCCGGGTGCGCAGGCACGCACACGCCGGCGCGCGGGGCTGGGTGGGGGGCGGGGGTGGGGGATAGTCTGAAGGCCTCCCTGCCGCGTAGCGGAGAGTAGCTACCTCCTCGCTGAGGCTGCTGAGCTCCAAGATAAAAACACACCAGGCTGAATCCGCCAGGCAGCGCCCCGGGCTGCGACCAAGGAATGGCTCACACCTCAAAAGACCTCCTCCCGCACAGTGTAATAGGAAGGGCCTGGCTGTTCAGAGAGAGAGAGCCTTCTGTGATCGACACACCCCACCTTCCCAAATGGGTGAAATTCGAACTCCAGCCCAGGAGCTCTGGTCTAGATGGCCCTGCAGATAAGTCCCAGAGGTGGCCTTGGAGAAACACGGATCTCGCTCTCATCTCGCCCGCAGCGCCTCCTTAACACACACACACACGCGCGCGCGCGCGACACTTCCATCACACTACAACGCAGGCTAATAGCACGGCAGTTAATGAAGCCGACGCGCTTAATGAGTGCACAGGTAAATAGGTACCAAAACGAAAAGCTCCCACCAGTCGGCTGGGCAATTTATCTCTCCCTACTGGAAACACGTGTAGCATATCGTGTTTTAGGAATGATTTGCTGTTGTCTGAGGTCTCCCCCTCTTCTTGTTGTGGAGAGAAGCCAAAAAAGCAAACAAAAAAACCACGTTCCATTGTCAGAGTCTTCTCTCTGATAAGCTACCCGAACCTTGGTCTAAAACATTTGGGGATCTGATTTGGTTTGTTATCTGTTGATTTGGGTTTGTTTTTGAGTGTGTTGTTTTTCTGAGGGAAGCAAAAGAACGTGTATTTGGTGGGGCCGGAGGCTCAGGACAAGAGCTTGTGTGTACGGCCGGGAAGGCTGGCGAGGCTGGAAGCCAGGCGGTGGTGAAAGAAGACGGCGGCTCGTCCTCCCCCGGGGTGGGTACGGGGCCCCTTGGCCTCCTCCGGCCTGGGCTTGCCCGCTGCCGCTGCCGCCGCCCGCACTAGCGGGCTCCGCCGGCTGCCGCTCCGTGTTTTCCCCCATCCCGGCTTCACGTTCAAGGTTTAGCTGCGAGGTCACGTCCATTGACGTCAGCTCCCTGTCTCCCTCTACGTCCGGCTACATTTACATACATCAAGGAAATTAGGGCATTAAAAAAATATGCAAATCCTGCGCGGAGAGGAGCCGGTGCATTCCTGGCGCGATCGCCTTTTATTGAAGCTTTTAATTAAAGGGGCCAGTTGGCGAGCCCCTGAAACAACCGCCAAAACCCCCAAAAGAGAAAAATAAACGCTGTAGCCTTCGGGAACGGTTGTTTCGGCTCCTGTTCTGTGGGCGGCTGAGGACCGCCGGCTGCCGGGCTCGGAGAAGAACAGGTTAGAGGAGGCAGCTCCAGCCCATGCATAATCAGGGCTCCGCGGCGCCTCCATTCTTTCCTCCTCCTCCTCCTCCTCCTCCTCCTCTCCTCCTCCTCCACCTCTCCTCCTCCTCCTCCTGCTCCCGCTCCTGTTGGTTCCAGCGTGTATTATTTTTAATACTGATGCATATGTAAAGATATATTTGCATTTTTTAATTCGCGAAAAGTTCAGGTTGTATCGTTTTATTGATCCCCCCTTCCTTTTTTTTGCTATCTTGTTATGTCTGTCTCTCTTGTCCCTTTCTGTCTGTATTTTTTAGCGAGTGTCTGCTGCTGTCTCTTGCTAGATAATATGCACAGTTGCTTCCCTGCTTCTGTGTATTTAAGGCTCCAAATATGCACATCTGTCATGTAGGTAATGCCAGCTGTATAACCTCCTGGTTTGGTCATAAAAGAAAAGACACTTCTTTTTCCCCCCTGACATACCCCCTTGGTCGGCTGTAATGTTCATCGCTCAAGGCTCAAAGTTTGATTATCTAATTAACTTCATATTAGCAAAAACAGTTCGGGCCAGTGCATTTGAGATAATGTATGTATAAAGGGAAGTGACTCCAAAGATTTCTAAATAATTTCTGTGCTGATTGAGAGTTGTGGCATTCGCTACCCTATTGCCTTATAGCATTTCTTATTTACAAAAAAAAAAAAATCTATTTTAAAATGTGTAGACACAGCAACGGACAGCCTTCTGCAAGGAAGACATTTTCAACCATGTTGTATGTTGTACCTTATCTGCTGCACTCAAAATTTACTGAGTTTCATTTTTATCTTATGTGACTGGAAACGCACATTATCTCGATTGAAAAGCATCCTTAATTCCTGACTTTGAAATGAAAACAAACAAAACAGTTGACTATATTAAGCCATTTGACTTACCCTAAACTATACAGGCCTTGAGTTAGATATCAAGCAATAGTAATCTTGTTTATAGGGTCAGATTTTCCTTTGGCAATACATCTATTCAATACAATGGCTTTTGGAAAATATATATATATGTATGAAGTCCGCTTTTAAAATTCCTCCAAAGCTATCATTTTTAAAAGACTGAATCCATAATTGCATAGCCACAAAGAACAGCAAGTATGCACACATGCAGCTTATTCAATTAAACAAGTCCAAGTACATGCACAGGTAATTAGTTTTCTTATGAATGACTTACCTGCACAGATACTCAGGGCAAGATTCAGCCCTCCCCAGTGGCTTTCATGTATAAATATTCACATGTATTTTCTCCCATTTTAAACCTACAGCTGTATGCCATCTTTCATGCTGGACTATCCAGCATCCATTTTTAGCACCTTTAAGTCTTATGGCATTTCCAGCCTTACCTCTGACTGTAGTTTTGTCAAGCCTACACTAAAGTGCTCATATGATATGTCACCAATAAAAAGTGGTCAGATGGCTACACGTAAAACATTAAAAAACGGAAACACACTCATCCTTTACGTTTCCCCTTACCTTGCCATACATAGCAAGATTACCTTTCCTAAAGTACATTTTCAGCACATTTTATGAATAGTTGCAGGATTTCACAACTGGTTGCAGAATTGGCGGTTTCTGGGGGGCACCTGGCTGAGCGAAATAATTCGGCAGGTTAAATGTCTCTTCGAGTTTGGCTGCAATTCAATCGTGCGTGGCGGTTTGTTCCAGCCTAGACTCTCAAACATACCTGCCTGCCTTTATGCAGGGATCAGGACAAACACACCCGCCACGTTTCAGGGCGTAGAGTGGCGGTGCATATATTTAGATGGTACTAGCAAGGAATGTGTGCATGTACGGATGTCTGTGCATGCATGTGTGTACAGACGTGTGTGTGCGTGCGCGCGCGCGCTGTGTGACAAGGGACACAGAGAGGTACACCTCTTATCTCTGATCTCTCAGTAATCTCCTTTTCTGTTTCTAATCTCCCTTATTGGCTCATGGTAGTAACCTGAAGCATCTGAACCGTCACTGTCACTGCCGTGTGCGCGCTTTGGCTTACCCCGGGGGCCGATGGCTCGGTGGCTCGCTGGTTCAGTGGGTGTTGTGGCGGAGGGTGGGTAGTGCCGCTGCCGCCGCCGCCGCGGGTCCGGGTGCTCTGTCCCAGCCCGGCAGCCGAGCGCGCGGTGCCGGAGCCCCCTCCCACCCCGCCCTCACCCCCATCCTCCCCTCCTCTACCCTCTGCGCCTCCCCCCACTCCGCCCCGCATTACCATATGGAGGCCGAGTCCCTGCGAATCACAGCAGCAGCGGGCGGCATTTGAATAAGCCCCGCAACCCCGGGCAGACCCCAACTCCTCAACAAGCTGCGTGCCCTGCATCAAGGGCCACCACTCCGGCCGGTAACCTGGCAGCGACCGACACCTCCCCAAAGTGTCCTGGGCGCGCGGGAGAGAGGTTCTGGGCCTCCCCCTTGCTACTTTTATATTAACTTGACTGATAGGATCAGACAATAAATGGGGGGGGAGGTGGAGACAGAGAGATACACACACAGAGGAAGGGGAGCAGAATGGGGGTGGGTGGGTGAAGAGATGGGAAAGGAAAAGAGGAAAGGCGCTGCGGTGGGGGGTGCGCAACAAGGGAAAGGAAGACAGAGATTGAGGAAAGGGGGAAAGAGCGGAGAAGGGAGCCCAAAGGGTTGGGTGAAAAGGGGGTAAAATGGGGAGGCAATGAGGAAAAGTCTGGAGGGGGAGAGATACCCAAAAACCTGATTTTGGACTTTCAAATCTAAAAATACCACCTCACTGAACTTCACAACCTCCAATTAGACACGTGTTTCTCCCCCCTCCCACATCAACGAATGATTAATTTGCTGTCTCAATCAGAAATAATTATTTAGAATTGTATAACAGATACAGGATTTAACGTAAAGTCGCCAATTTTGTGAAACATAGCAAAAGGCATGACATTTAAAGATGATGTTGGCCACCTCATGGTAAAAAATTAAGGCTTGCCTTGAATACTCAGGCATTTGCCCAGCCTTGTCCCCCAAGATAGTGAGACCAAGGCCCAGAGTCAGGAACAAGATGTGTTCCGAAATATTTTGGACTTTAAGTAAGAATTTTTCTTTCATTCTCTTTGATATTTGATTGATACATTTTTCTTCTTCACCAACTGATGGTGTTTACCAAAAAATATAGATCAAGTGTGGGGTTTTAAAATTTTTTACTGCAAAATGTCCCCACATTTTAAATGAAGATAGGGCTTTTAAACGTTAGTTCCATTTTGCATCCTAACTCAATAACTCGAAGTTCTGAATTTAGCGTTTTCAGTGCGGTCCCCCTCCATCTTCGAATCAGAATAGTGATTTCCCTGTATCAAACAATCAGAATCATAATAAAATCTCCAGTTACCTACTGGATG